TTCACCATAAAATCAGTTGGCAATATGGAGTTTAACCCAACCACTTGTAAGAACATACAATCCCTTCTTTCTCCGATATAGAATTCATCACTCTCAACACCTTAAATCTTTCGTATCAAATAGAGTTGAAAGTTGAGACATAATAGCTTGAAATGATTTTTCATGATTCTCTTTAAGTATTATGTCATCAACATACTGAAGCAGAACAACTAGAAACCCATCTATATCAGCCTTCACGAACAGAGAAAAATCAGCATAGGATGATTTTAATCCTAAATGAGGCAAAATTTTTGTGAATCGTTTCTAAGACTCATTCAATTTGCAAACAAAATTTGGATGAGCACTATGCACAAAACCTTGTGGTTAAGACATGTACACTTAATGTCATGTAAAAAGACATTTTTGAGTTGGAGTTTCCAGCCATAATGGGCAATCTAAAGCAGTTGTAGATTTGACAAAATGACTAAAAGTCTCAGAGTAGTCACTACATGCTTCTTTGAGAAAACCCCTTAACAATTCATTTTAACTTATACCTAACAACAGATCCATCAAATTCTTATGTGATGGAAGAGGAACTAAAAACCAAGTATGTTGAGCATGTAAAGAAGCAATTTCCTACTTCGTGGCCTCTTGCCACAGAGGATTCTTGATGATATGAAGGCATTAATCAGCGCCTGATTTATTTTATATTTTATTTAGTTCCTAGAATTCGTAATAACGTACCCCATAAGTTAACTACATATTGCGTTGTATAGTATTGAGGTCTCGATGGAGGAAGGATCACTTTGGCTCTCTCACTATCTTCAGACAGATATTAGCTCTCTATCTTCTCTTGAATGAAATTCATCCTTATATAGACGTAATGTCATTTAATTACAATCTTTTCTCAGTTTATTATGCTTGCAGCCATTGCAATCCTTCTTTGTAAATAATTGTTCGTTTCAAATAATGTTAAACTTTCTTATATTAAATTTGTAACTTTTTTTATATTAAATAAATTTAAAAATATCTTAGTTATAAACATATTTACAATAAAATAAAAGAGTAAGGGTTGGACTTGGAGGTGGGTGCTAATATGACGTTCTGTTTGCATATATTATGAATAATATATACTCTTTGAAGAATACTTGCATCTCTCGTGGAAGACCACAAAACTCATTCTTGCGAATAATAAACTTTCACTGTATAAGTTGTATAATCGAAAACATTCATCTTTTCAATTTTCACTTGCGGATTATCCCTTACAAAACATTATAAAAATGTGTTTGAAGTATGTTGCAATGTCTCTTTCATAAAGAAAGGGCAGCAAGCTGTATCACAATGAGGAAAGAGAGACACCAGGACATGGATCATATGGTATTGGGTATCCAAAGTTTACGGATATTTGATGTCAATATTTGTCAATAAAGTTGATATCGTTGACAGTGCGAACTTCCATGTACGATTAACAATATACTTATTACATGATCATATTCGTAAATACAGATAATAGAAAATTGAGAGTACGCTATTTCCATGTTACCTAAACAGCGTATGGTTTTTAAATTAAACTTAGATATACTACGTACCGCCTGTGATCGGTAAAGAAGATTCCTTATAGACGAAGCTGAAGCTTTTATGTTGAGTCCCCTCGTCCATTGTGGTGCAGCCCCACAGAAAAAGATAAAATCTATAATATTTTTCGACCTACAACACCATATGGGCTCTCTTTCTGAAAAAGAAAAGGTGATTAAACAGAAAAAGAGAAGCAAAGGAAAGAAATAAAGGTCGAAACTCTAGCTTGCTAATCCTTAGTTCTTACTTACCTCAAATAATATATAAATGACAAATTAATGATATCAACTTTGATGTTCTCTCCTTGGTTTTTTGAATTATGAGTTGGGCACTAAAGTTGGGAGACAGGTTGAAGATTTTGTGACGCTAAAAAGAGACATAAAGGTGGATAAAAGTTGGGGCATGTTACAGATATTTTCTTTATTGATCTGCCGTAATTGACTACTTAAAGAGTCCTACCTATCACAGTAATTTACCATGTCGTCGTAATTATTATGAACCCATAGTTTATAATTTTTAGCAAAGCTACACAAGAAAAGGAAAACCCAATTAGTGGATAGAATTCCCACCTTTTGTCCTGTATCTTTAGCATATAATAACCTAGGTTAGCATATGGTTCACAAGATTAATTAACATCCACCTTCAACCCTTATTTTTTCGATACTTAATGTATCATAAGAATTTAAAATCAGTAAAATTTCTTTCCCTTTATGTGGGATTTCTCTACCATGCGAGTTGGACAATTCTTCTTGTTAGTGTAGGTCTATCACTTATAAGTCATATGATTCTTTTAGAACTGCCTTTAACGCTCTCTGCGGTGCATAATTCTTACTTACTTACATTATTCACCACAATGAAGTATATTTGTGTATTTCAACTAAACATTACCAAAATTATTAGTGTTTATTTGGAAAGTATTATATTAACACCAAACATATCAAAGGCCAAAAGTTGAACAGAAAATAAAGCAGTTGAGCTTGATAAACTGTATTTTTAAAAGTGTTGTGAGTATGAAAAGTAGTGTAAAAATGTTTGGTAATTTTAATGTAAAAGTGATATAATTGTATATATGAAAAAAATGGACATGATAGTGTGGACGATGATGACAACAATGGTGGCAAGGATAGTGATTGTGTTGGTGGTGGTGTTGAAGCCAATAAAGGGGTGCAGAGGTAACAATGATGGTAGAGGTGGCGACAACAATGATGGTGGCAATTGTGGTTGTGTTTGTGGTAATAGTGGTGGCAGCTGTGTTTATGGTGGTGGTGATGGCGGCACCAAAGATGGTAGTGGCAGTTGTGGTTGTGGTGGTAGTGGTGGCAGGTATGGTTGTGGTGGTGGTGGTTGTGGTGGTGGTGGTTGTAGTGGTAGTGGTGGTGACATGATTGTTGTGTGGTGGTGGTGGCAACAACGGTGGTGGTAACGACAATGATGGTGTAAGAGATTAGGGTTTGTAGTGATACGTGGTGGTGGTTACTTTGTTCCCTAAGGATAAAATGTGTCTAGAAGGATAAATAATGTCATTTTAAAAACTAAGAGGGTATTACAAGAATTAAAAATATTCATTAAAGACTCAACTTTGTTTTTTATCAAAGCAGCTTTTAAAAGCACTGACAAGCTACTTTTAAAAGATGATGTTTGGATGCTATTGCTTGTAAATAAACATGATATGTCATTTTTACCGTACTTTTTTATTTTTGAATTTTAAAGTGAATCATCTTTTGGTGAAAAAAAAAAGTAATACCAAACCGGACCTTACTATGATGCCACTTCCTAAACCAAAACAAGGCCCCGTTTGTTTCACCTTTTAGCTAGGATTAGATTAGCTTGCTAGGATTATAATCCCTTATTTGTTATGACTAAGAATTAACATAAATGAGACTAGGTGAGACTTGTGTGTACTAACGACATCGCTAACATAGGCCTAGCAGTCCGTTCGTCAACATGGGATTTGCTAATTCCCCCTCCAATTTCGTCTTACCGGTCTCATTCCTACATCAGCAACAACTACCGGGCCGACTAGCACAGCCCATGACAGCAGCCTGAAAAATGCTCTCGAGGTTCTCCTTTGCGAGGTTGGCGCCCGATGGTGTTTAGATCGGGTTCGGAGCGGCGTCCCAGACCTTTCCAGCAAGGATATTGGCTTCGTGTCCAAATCGGTATTTGTCATTGACTACCCTTCAACTGGTACTTGGTGGCCATTTTGGTAATTGCAGTGTCAGCCATGGCAGAGAGAGGAGAAGGGATAAAGAGTACAGTGGTGATTTTTTTTTTTTAGTACATCGATATTTTTACACTAAAGGAAGAGGGAGTTCAGCTAAATCACACAATGGGCAACGTAATTTGGTATCGAATTCACCATCCAGGAGATTCGAACCTAAGACCTCTCACTTCCAAGTGAAGAGTAATATCACCAGATTGTAGTACTAAGTGGCAAGACAGTAGTAATTTAGAATTGGAAATTTTTATTTGAACCCATATGACTTTACTCTATACCTAACTCAAACATTATATGTAAATTGTTTTTTTTACCCTATTGTACAATTACCATAAAAAATGATATGCAATTAAAACTAAAATTATTTTTTATCTATAAACCCACATTCAGTAATCGCCTCACCATGACACAATTTGGTGAAATTGCCTTATTTAAAGGTCCAAATATAGTGATGAGATGTTGACTATGTTTGAGAACCAAAAGGCACAAAATCTCTCATCCTAAAACAGCTTGCTTAAATAGCCGAAAGACACAAATTGAGATTGAAATCTCAATGAGACTACCAAGAAAACTTCAGCACAACCATTGTTTTCCACAACTGCTTTCTGGGTGCCGAATTTGATTTAACTATTCAAATAATAGTAATGAGATGATGACTTAACCCTATCTCGCGATTCTCCATTAGTGCAACTTATAAATCATTTCAACCTTCAATACAATCAAAAGATAGTAAATTTTATCAATCGAAGAAAATGTTTTGAGTACCTCAGTGCCTTAGTTGATTCGATGGAGAAAGAGCAACAAAATTCGCCCACACCGTTCAACATTTCTCATTGCTTCAATGACTTCCCGACATTTTAGGGTTTAGATTTTGGTTTTTTAATTTTTTTAATTGAGTGTAAAGATAAATTCACATATTAGGATGAGTTTGTGAGGGTAATTTAGGTAGTAAAAGTGAATTTAAGGAGATACTAAAAGATAAATTAAAGGGTAAATCTCAGTTTATTACTCTCAAGTTTCGTGGTTTTCAACATTTAGTACATCAAGTTTTTTTTTGTCCTAGAGTCAAACCTAAAGTGTTAATTTTGGGACAATCTCATAAATCCGTTAGTCAAACTGTTAAGTCTGCTGTTAACTGATGATGTGGCGTCCATGTGGACAATGATTGGGCGCCACGTGTCATTAAAAAAATTAATTAAATAAAAGTACTTAAAATAAAATAAAATAAAAAAATAAAATAAAAATAGAACTCCCTTTTTTCCTTCCCCCTTCGTCTTCCCCACTGGAAAAAGGGCCGGATTCCTTCCCCCTTTTTTCCTTCCCCCTTCGTCTTCCCTACTAGTGCGACGGTAAGCCTCTTGCCTCCCTTGCTTGCACCAGCTTCCATCTCCACCGCTCACTCCCCTCTATCCTCTCTCTTTTCCTCTTTCCTCTTTCCTCTCTCTATCTTATAAGTTTCTCTCTCTCTCTCTCTCTCTCGCCAGAAGGGCAAAACTCTAAAGAGCCATTTACACCCACCTGAGTAAGTTTTCTTTCTCCTTTCTCCTCTCTCCTCTCTCAATGTCTCTCTTTCTCTCTGTAAAATTTGAATATGTGTCCTTGTACTATTAACCTGCCATTTACATTCATGTGCATATTTGTATATTTAAAAGCTTCAAACTTTATTATGAATTTGTTATTTTTGTCCTTGTTATACCCAAATCTCACATCCCAATTTCTCATATTACGAAACCCTAATTTGTTGTATTTGATTTTGGATGGAAGTTCAAATCTGGGTGTTGTCTGTTTACTTGTTGGGAGATATTGATTGGGAAACTTGTAGAGCTTGACGGAGCCGGAGGTAAGGCAGGTGGAGTTGGGGCTGAGAGCGAGAGCCGTGATGCCGTCGCGGTGGTGGAGGAGGAGCTTGGGAGGGCTGGACAGGATAAGAGAGTCATGGATAGCTATTGTGGGGTCGGAGGAGGAGGCCCTCACGACGTGGTAAGCCTATTGGTCCCACAACACCAAGCAGTATGACAGCCCCCCGCCCCTGCTCATGGGCTTGTGGGCCTCTCGAAGCTTCAAAGTTCGGATCTTCATGGCTCTATGTGCGGATCGATGGAAACTTGGATTTGGGTTTTGTTGGATTTTCTAGATTTCTTTGTTGTTTGATTTTTTTTTTCATGGTTCAGGGGGCATTTAGGGTTGAGATTTGATCTGGGTTTTGATCTGGATTTTCCAGATTTAGGGCTGAGATTTGATCTGGGTTTTGAAAGTTTTAGCTCGATTTTTGTAGGGTTGTTGATTTTTCTAGATTTTGGAGATGAAGATTGAGATGGGTTTAGGAGGAGGGGTTTGGGATGATGAAGATAAAGCCATGGTTGTTGCAGTTTTAGGAACCACTATTTTTTTTTGAACCCCTTCTCATAAAAAAAAAAAAATCCACGTAGACCCCTTAATGACACATGGCGGCTAGTTATTGTCCACATGGGCGCCACGTCATCAATTAACGGCAAATTTAACAGTTTGACTAACGGATGTATGAGACCATCCCAAAATTAACACTTTAGGTATGACTCTGGGACGAAAAAAATTTGATGTACTAAATGTTGAAAACCACGAAACATGAGGGTAGTAAACTAAGATTTACCCTAAATTAAATACAAGATGGATGTAGAGAATAAGTTGGGTGTAAAGAAAATTTCCCTTTTAAAATTTTAGGATGGTTTTTTTTATTTTATTTTTATTTCATGTAATGAGTGCAAATTTTAGGGGTTTTAAGGCAAAAGTGAATAAAAACAATAATTAAAAAAAATTAGGAATTGATAATAATCTAGTTCGTGGATTAGTCGACACTGATAAAATGCTTGACAATTCTTATACTGTTTAGTCTAGACTAATCTAACTTAGCTTAGTACTTGAAACTAGTGCAATCCCAGCTAAGAAGGTGAACAAACGGAGCTCAAGAGTACTAATATCGAAAATGTCATGTTGTAAAGGTATTAATGCAAATTATTCCGTACAACTCCTAATGAGGAGTTAATCGGATGACTTCACTTGAGGCGGCGATCCCACCACAATGGCTAATTAGATAGTGATATGTAATTTGCTTTACTGTGTCACCTTCTTTCTCTCTGTTCCATGCATGAGCCAGGCAGAGGCAGCAACTAATTGCTTTTTTTTAAGCACTAATTAAATCAGAGTCCACAGCGTCAAAAGAAAGCTTAAATGCGAAGAAATTTCGTCGACCACCCAAAACCCTAAATATAATAAAACAAAAAGAGAGAGAATGAGGGAATAAAAGTAAAAATATACAAAAGCCTCTCCCTTGCTTTCCTCCTCTCTAGCTTTCTCTTTTCTCTTTTCTTTCTTTCTTGGCTCTGGTATTCCCTTGGTGTGATTCTCCACCACCATATGTCCTAAAGACCCATCAAACTTTATAAAAGAAGAAAAAAGATCAAACACCATGGTTTTCTCATCTATTCCAGTCTATTTAGATCCTCCCAATTGGCATCAGGTGAGGTTTTCTCTAGCTCCAATTTTCCATCAATAACTTCTATCGTCGCCAAAATAGAGAAAAGGGAAGAACAAAATTAAAAGCAAATTAAAAAGATAATTATTCCTATTCCTTTGTGATATCTTTGTGAATATACCAGAAATATTTGTTTCTTATGATTAACTCATAGTTTCTTTTGATTTTTATTATCTTGCAGCAACCAAATCATCATCCACTAGGAAGTGCTACTACTGGAAGTGAAAATCTACATGAGCTTCCACCACTGCCTCCACCACCGTCACTAACTCATGTTGGTGGTGCAGCCAATATTGGTGGTGGTGGCGGCCCAGGCTCCATCAGACCTAGTTCAATGTCTGATCGAGCCCGTCTGGCAAATATTCCACAACCAGAAACCGCGCTCAAGTGTCCGCGGTGTGAGTCCACCAACACCAAGTTTTGCTATTTCAACAACTACAGCCTCAGTCAGCCTCGCCACTTCTGCAAGACATGTAGGCGTTATTGGACCCGAGGAGGTTCCCTAAGGAACGTTCCCGTGGGAGGAGGATGTCGTCGAAACAAGAAAAGCAAAAGCAACAACAGCAGTAACAGCAGTCGATCCAAATCTCCAGTAGCCACTGGCGATCATATCCAAACAGGTTCCAACTCAATTACCAACAACTCATCAGATCATATGATTGGTAATATTACTCATCATTTTTCAAACCTACCACCGAGTACTCATCAATCACTACCATTTCTAGCATCATCCATACAAAGTCTAGGTCGTTATGGTGGTGCTGGGAACATGGGATTGAACTTCAATGAGATCCAGCAGGAAGAGACTGATCATCACCATCATCATATGGGGTTTCAATTTCATCAGATTGCAGGAGGCAATAATATGAACAATTTAAGTGGTGGAATATTAGGAGGGGGTCATAATAATCAGTGGCGTAATTTGAACTTGCAGCACATTCCATTCTTGGGTGGTACCGGGTTCGAATCATCAACATCAACAGGTTTATACCCATTTCAAACTGGTGATCAAGGAGTCGATCATCAAGCATCAACCCATCCAATGGTTGGGAATAATTCTAGGATTAGTACAGAGCAGTTGCCCCCTCCAGTGAAAACTGAAGATAATCATGGTCCTAGTTTGATGAGACCTTCTTTGGGTACTGCTATTTCACCTGAAATTAACAATAGCCAGTTCTGGGGTGGAAATTTGAATGCGTGGACAGATTTATCAGGACCCAACTCTTCTTCCACAAGCCATCTCTTGTAACTAAGGTCCACGGTGATGAATTTCAAGAATCCTAATCATCATTGCTGATTAGAGGTGGAACCAATTAAGAAATGGTAGGCTTTCTATTTTGTATTTTATTTTGTTTTTATTTTTAACTTTGAGTACTTATGTTGTGCTTGTTGGTATCGTGTATCAGTGTATGGGTTTAATTACATATGTATGGAGTACTTGGTCCTTAATTTGTGTAGCATAGGGTTGTATCCGAACACTATGAGATGATCACTTGTTATAAACATCTCACGTCTTCTTTCAGCCACATGCATTTAATATTAACCCTACTGCATGAGAAATGAAAATGCAAGAATAATGTCTACTCATTGAATTTATTTATTATATTATGAGTCCTACTATTAATTATGTGCGTACGATTTTGCATTGATTGTAAGTCTCTCTATGTCTCTCTGGTTTAGGTTTTAACTTAAGTACTTGATCTGATCCACATTCCACCATTGCTCTGAAAAGTTTTGCCTTTAGGTCATTCACCAAGCACTGTCTTCAATGGTCTCTCTCTCTCTAAAAAATTTAATGAACGAAAAGTGATGTGTCATCAGGACTTGAGAGAGGGACACTGACTCCACTTCGCCCATTTTCCCAATTCCTGTAAATGTCGCAAATTTTGAACTCCCAGAAAGCTTCTTGTCTCATGTTTTTATGAGATTCGAATTCAATAGGATGTTAATTTGTTTTCAGTTTTCACCTCAGCAGGAAAACATGTTTACTACATTTAGATTTGTGCGTCAGAGAGACTGATGCATGGGAGGAGAGAGAGAGAGCATCATTATCATGCATACAAAACAGTACTATATATAATGATTTTGTAATAATAATAAGAATGATAAGGTCAGTGGAAGTACTTATTTGTTTTAGGTGGGTGAAAGTGAAAGTTGACAACTTTGAAGTGAAATATGAGAAAATGCCAAAAATCCCACTAAAAACCATGCATGCAAGTATCCAATTTTCTCAACCAACCAAACCCAAGCGATCAGCAAGTTGTCTACAATATTGTTATACAATGTGCATGAGTTAATTAATTTGTTTTTTCAAATACTAGGTAGGTCAAAGAACTATTTTCGTTAATTTTCTTTTTATGCAGCATAATTAGAAGATAGTGAATTCAACACAGAACTTGGGTGCAAGCCTTTTTTAAACACTTTTTTATTGTTTACTACTTTAAAACCAAACATGGTTCCCCCAAACATTCTTCTGAAATTGGGTCAAGAAAATAATAGAATTTGGTCACGTTAGAATATAAGAAGATATGATTATATTCTACTGATCTCTTCAGAGATCGATGTAATAATTACATATTAGTATTGTAAGCCAAAAGGGTTGGTCATCTTATGAAAAAGAGAGGAATCATGGATTTGCTTTTGTGAGAACCAAGGCTGCCAAGCAATGGACGAATAAAGCAATCCAACCAGAATGCTCAGAAGCAAAAACTTAAAGCAGACACTCTTACTCTCTCTCTCTCTCTCTCTCTCTCGATATTTGATATTGGTCATGGGACGTAGACTGCAGAAACAGTTATTGTGAAAAGAAAATGAGCATGCATTATGCATATGGGCGGTGGCAAAAGGGAAAGCAAAAAAGAGGAGGAATGGCTATTGATGAAGCCTGATGAGAGACTGAGAGAGGTACGATCGTTTAGGAAGAGCAATGCAACGCAATCAAAGACTAATTCAAAGCATGCAGGGCTCCGAATTCCACGACCTCAATTTTTATGTTTGTTCATTTTGTTGACCCACTCATTGATAAGTGTGAAATCTACTCTCTTTCTGTATTCTTCTGTGCTTGTGTACGTTGAAGCAGATGGGCCTGCGTTTTATTTTTCCTTTTCACTTTATTCCTCTTTATCACCTTCTGACGTTCTTCTTCTTCCAAATGGGCCATGGTATTATTTGCATTTCTTAGTTTTATTTTTTTTTATTTTTTATTTTTAACATTTGTTCTTCTTTAAAACCTTTAAAAAATCCAATATACTCTTTAGTTAATATATAGTAGTTACTTGCTGCCAGCTGCATATTCAAGTTGAGTTGTTAGTTTGTGCTAGCCTTCGTGGGTATTCAGTTAGAAGTAGTAGGATAGGTCAACAGTTTGCTGGGTTCTCTACAAGTCGAAAGATAATGACAAGCTTAAAACAATATAGTGTTACCCTTAAGCATGCATAACGCCAACCACACTATGCATAAAAGTAGGCCCATCTTTTTGGAATGCATGGTGCTATTCACACATTCAATTTTACCTCCCACACACCTATTGTTAATTTATGCCATTTGATCTTTTTTAATTCATTCAATTCGATGACCGAAAATTAAGAGAAATATGTGGAAGTTAAAAAGAATATGTGTATAGCACCACCCTTTGAAGAAACACAGTGAATATGTTATACTGTTCCTATAGGTCTTTTGACTTTCTTTATTTTATTTATCTATTTATATTTTTTGTGTCATGGGATTTAGTTTTATGTCTACAACCCTTATGTAGTCCTACTCTTCTAATTCTTCATTACCCTTGATGTTGTTTATAAAAAAACTTTATGATTAAATTCAAACTCCTAAAACATAGTAAACAAATTGTTATGATTTTACTAAATTGACAGTCATTACATGTATCACATATCTTATTATCAAAGTATACTTTGCTATAGCATGATCTTTTCTTTTTAACTCTAATTATATATGATCTTAAATATACATGCTGTACTTGCGTCCTTAATTAGCTTTCATTTTAAACTCAGTTCTTTATAATCCCGTTGCAGGTATACTCTATGTTTTATGTAAAACTATCTAAGCAACTTCAGAGTAGTGTGTTTAAGTTTAATTAGATTCCATGCGCTTCTCATCTGAAAAGTAATTCATCGGTCCCAATTTCTTAGAGGGGGTCCATATGATGTGGAATCCATACTTTTGATATTATATATGTACATTACATATAACGTGCTTTACCAAATTATTTTATCTTGCAGCTTCAATACTAACCTTGCTATGGGTATTTCAGCCATTAGCTATATATAAAATAATATTACAAAAAAAACAATAAGACATTTAACTATTTTACAGTTAAGTTATTAGAAGAGGTTCTAAGCTCATGTATATTTGATATTCCATACATCAAAGAGCATAAAGAGAGACGTGGGGCTTGAAGGAAAGGCATGTTATAGTATCTCGTCACATCATAGCCATTGTATAAAGTATATATGTGATATAATACTCCACTGTATAAAGTTCTCTGAATTTCAATTGGGAAAAAAAAAGGACATGTTATAGTATCTTGTCACATCGTCGCCTCCATAATATAGCATGATTGTATGTGATGATTGGAGTTAGAATTGGCAATTTCTTACACGATTCGTTAACACGATAAGTAAACGATACAGAAAAAACGGGTTTCGGGTGGACACAATAACTAATCGGGTCACGCAATAAGAACCAGTTAATAACAAATCCTTAATAGGTTAACACGATGGTGACACGTGGATAACCCGTTTCGACAAGTTAAGAAAAATGTTATTTTCATCATATTAATTTTTTAAACTAATAAAAAAAATTTACTATAAAATATAATAGGCATAGTGTGTGTGTGTGTGTGTGTGTGTGTGTATGTATTATTATATTTAAGTTCTATTTATTTATTTTTATAGTATACTATATGTCACATCCCGGCCCGGGTGGCACCACTTCCCGGGCCCGCTCCACCACCGTAGCACGATATTGTCCGCTTTGGGCCCCGACCACGCCCTCACGGTTTTGTTTCTGGGAACTCACACGAGAACTTCCCGATGGGTCACCCATCCTGGGAGTGCTCTCGTGCGCTACTCGCTTAACTTCGGAGTTCCCATGGAACCCGAAGCCAGTGAGCTCCCAAAAGGCCTCGTGCTAGGTAGGGATGGGAATATACATATAAGGATCATCCCTGGGTGATGTGGGATGTCACAATCCACCCCCCTTAGGGGCCCGACGTCCTCGTCGGCACACCACGACCAGGGTTAGGCTCTGATACCAAATTGTCACATCCCGGCCCGGGTGGCACCACTTCCCGGGCCCGCTCCACCACCGTAGCACGATATTGTCCGCTTTGGGCCCCGACCACGCCCTCACGGTTTTGTTTCTGGGAACTCACACGAGAACTTCCCGATGGGTCACCCATCCTGGGAGTGCTCTCGTGCGCTACTCGCTTAACTTCGGAGTTCCCATGGAACCCGAAGCCAGTGAGCTCCCAAAAGGCCTCGTGCTAGGTAGGGATGGGAATATACATATAAGGATCATCCCTGGGTGATGTGGGATGTCACACTATACGCAAAGAGTGAAATTAAAAAAATTATAAAACAAATTAAAAAAATTATAATAATTAATTTACAAGTGCAAAAAGTGTGAAAAAAAATCGACAAACGCTCGTGAGCGCATCCTCTACACTTTGAGGATGGGGACATTGCCATTTCAATTTTTAGAACCATACAAGCCCTGATGAATAGTATATTTAAGGGAGTTCAAAATAAGTAAAATTCATAATAATTAATGTACAAGTCTGAAAAATGTGAAAGCATATATAAATGTTCGGGATTGCATCCTCAACCTTGAAACGCAACTCTCTTCATTTTGCACATCCTTAAACATTTGGTAGTTTGTAGTAATGTACTCATGTTTTTTCATTAGGATCTTATTTTGGGGTCTATAATACTTGAAGGACAAATGTTTTTTTTTTAATGTTTTGATGTAATATTGACGTGACAATGTAATATGCATATACTAATTTAGTATTATGTTTTCCATTTTTTTAAGTCAAATTATATTTTTCATTTTCATTATTTATTGATTTAAAAAATATTTTTTTTAACAGGTAACAAGTCGGGTCATATCACTTGATAATTTTAATGGATCAATTTCGAGTCGGGTCATATTACTCGTTTACTTTAACGGGTGTTACACAATACGACCCGTTAAGGTATCGAGTATGTCATGAAAACGACACGAACACGAGAAGCATGACACAAATGCTAGGTCTAGATGGAGCTACATGAAGAAATTGTCCTAGTTCTTAATGATCCTTTGTAGAATGTTGATCGATAATGTGGTAGTTGTGGAGCCAAAAATAATCGAGAAAAGTATGGAGGCGACACGTGGATTCTTGGATGAAAATGACAAAATTACCCTTGAGGCACACCGGAACTCCTACGCACTAACAGTGGACAATAACGACTCAATCAAGGTCAAAAGTGAACAAAATAGGTATTTATTCAAAACATATTTCATCCA